TCAGAAAACCCACCATCCTCTGACAAAGTGCTGGTAGAGTCCTTTTTGTGGAATGTCACCGTGACTAGTAGGACCAGAAAGAATCTGGCCTGTAGTGAGAGCGTAGTGAACGAGGTCCAGGTCTTTGATTTCTGATGATGTATATCCCTCGTTCAGGAGAAGTGATTCAATTTCTTTCTCAGAAAGCGGTAGAAAGTCGTTCTCTTCTGGCTCTGGGCTGACAGGTTCAGTAGAAGACGATATGTCGGGAGAGGCAAATTCACACAACTTATGAGGGTCAACGGTGCGGCACATGTGGCTTGCGTGTATCCAAGAATCTCGCTTGGCTACCTTCACAGCCGTGTTGGTAGTCAGCAGGACCTGGAAGGGACCATTCCACCTTGGAGATAGGTAGTCTTCCCTCTGGAATTCTTTTATCAGGACCCAGTTTCCTGGTTGCACATCATGGCAAGGCACATCAGTTGGGACAGGTAAGGCTTCTGCAACCTGAGAGGAGAGACTAAAAGCAATTTTAGACAGATGTATACAGTATTGAAGTAGTTCGTCATAACATTTAGATAAGTGGGAAGGATTAATTTTTCCAGGAGGCTCAAATCCAAGTAAAATCTTTCTCCCAAATAGGATTTCATGAGGGGTGAGACCATGTTTGCAGTTTGGGGTATTTCGGATATGCATGAGGGCAAGGGGCAATGCCTGTGGCCACTTGAGTCCAGTATCAGAGATAATCTTGCTTAACTTCCGTTTGATATCAAGGTTCTTTCTTTCAACATGCCCTGAACTTTGGGGATGATATGGAGTATGGAATCATTGTTCTATGTGGAGGGCTCTACACAGATCTTGCAGGATTTTGGTTGTGAAATGGGTTCCTTTATCCGAGTCAATTTTTAAAGGGATTCCAAATCTGGGAACCACCTCAGTAGCTAATTTCTTCACCACAGTAGTGGCGTCCGCTTGGCGGCAAGGGAAAGCTTCCACCCAACCACTGAACACACATACAATAACCAGACAATACTTGAACCCACAGAAAAGGGTTAACTCTATAAAATCAGTCTGCAAATATTGGAAGGGTCATAGGCCCAAGTATGAGCACTCACAGTAGTCTTTTCTCCACCCTGGGTAGAGAACTTTTGGCAAGTAGCACAATTGCTGGTGATTTTAGCAGCAGCTTGGTGAATCCCAGGCACATACCAATGCTTCAGAATCTGGTCCGCTACCCACCTTTTGTTCATATGTCCTAATCCATGGGTAATGGTAGCCAATTGAGACACCAACATAGAAGGAGCCACAGGTCGTCCATCTGGTGAAAGCCAAATGTTATTATCTTGAATATGACACCCAGCTTTGTACCAATTGTGTTGTTCCTTCTCAGGTGCCCTAGATTGCAACAGGGATAAATCATTTAGAGTCAGGGGAACAGAAACAGCAACCAGGATTTGAAATGGAGCTGGAGGTTCACAGGCAGCTGCATTCTTGGCTGCAAAATCTGCCCGTCTGTTTCCTACTGATAGGCTGTGTCTAAATTGGCACCCCTTTCCAGAAAAGGGATTCTAATGAGACACTTCGGAATTGCAAATGCCGCGGGGGATTTAAATATCCCCTGCGGCATTTGCATGAACATGGCTGTTGCTTTTTTCCGGCTCGGGGTTTTGCCGGAGAAAAGCGCCAGTCTAGATGGGATCTTGCGGAAAATAAGCCCTTTTCCGCAAGATCCCTTATTCCTACTTGAAAGTAGCTTTTCCAGAATAAGTGAAAGTAGCGGCTGCTTTTCCAGAATAAGTGGCCCAGTGTAGACACAGCCTATCAGTTTTATCAGTATGAGCAGTGCAATGCATAATAGAAATAGCAAAAGGTAATTGAATAGCAAGCAAGAGGTCATTAACAAGGAATCCATTAGAAATGGCACTTCCCGAGGATGTTAAGAATCCTCGATGTTTCCAAATCTGACCTACAGAATGACAGATATTAAAAGCATACATTGAGTCAATATAAATGTTAACAGATTGATCAGTAGCTAAAATACAGGCACGAGTGAGAGCAATTAGTTCAGCGGCTTGTGCACTCTTTATTCCTGGAAGAGAATGAGTTTCAATTATTGCATGATCAGAAACAACAGCATACCCGCTTATAAGGTTTCCCCGTTCATCCCTTTTACATGACCCATCAGTGTAATACACTAAATCAGGATTTGACAAAGGAATGTCCCTTAGATCGGATCGCGGGGTACAAGTGAGGTCCACCAATGCTAAACAATCGTGGGGTTCCATCTCATGGGGCTCTCCATCAGTAGGGTTAGGAAAAAGGGTGGCAGGATTTAAAGTAGAACAGCGTATTATAGAGACATTCTGGGCTCCTAAAAGGGCTTTCTCATAGTTAGTCAGTCTTTGCATTGACAAATGCTGGGTCTTAGTCTTATTCAACAAAGCTTGCACTGCATGGGGTACAGCAAGTGTTAGGTGGTGACCCAATACCAGGCATTGATTTTTTTCTAATAGCACAGCAGCTGCGGCCACAGCTCTAAGACATGGGGGAAAACCCTTTGCTACTGGGTCAAGCTGAGCACTAAAATAAGCTACAGGACTAAGGCGATTTCCAAATGGTTGGCATAATGCTCCTGAAGCGACCTGATCCTGTTCATGGCAAAAAAAGAGTAAAGGGTTTATCATAATCAGGGAGCCCAAGAGAGGGTG